ATAGGCGGAGCGCGCCTCCATAACCAGCGGTTATGAAATGCATATAGGTTGCATAGAAGGCATTATTGTTTCTAGGAGGGAAGCCACAGTGGTAACCTTAGGCATTGCGACAAAAAGCACGTAAGTAATGGGCTTTGTTAACGCTACTGATACAACTGGAATAGGGTCACATGGCTTTTCATTTGTTTCCTACATTATTGTATGCAACTGCGTTGATTGCATTATGCTGAGTACTCGTGACAATATGGAAATGGTAACGAAACAGAGACACAAATGGAGCGCTGACGTCTGTACCGATTCCGAATATTCACGTCATCATGGGGAGCTTGTGAGGCGCTCTTGACCCACAACGCGCGAACACTGACGAATGGTAAATGGAAATTTATTCCGTAGACACACATGAAAGTAATATGCATAAATGTAACGCGGGGTTGACTTACTCAATCATATGAAAGGCGAGACTTGTCAGCTGGCAAGTTACCGAGTCTGGTTAGTTTGCGCACAGTCAGGCCGGGGAAGTCGAGAGGCAGGATTTGGGTAACGAATATTCTAAACCACTGAAGGTCATCTAGCATACGGTCTTTTGGGAGAACAGCAGAAGACTCAGTGCCGTTTCTGAAAATAACACTGCAGTTGGTATACGAGTCTCCGCGACGCGGAGTAATTACCGAACGCTCCATGGACGTCGGTGGTTTCAGTTTAGTGTCCGTTTTTATAGGCTCTAGTGTCGTAGATATTTTCAGTTGTAACGATTCCGTATTAGTAGAATTTGAGGAGGGGGAATGGGTGCCCGACGGATATCTCATGTCCGTCTTGGGTTTTGCCGCTTTTTAAACCCTCTTGCGCCTTCTTTTTACAAGGGCAGAAACCTGTTTCTCTCCTTCGATAACAGCCGTATCAAACAGGTTGTCTGAGGGTTCGTTACTAACAACGAGGGCCGTTTTGCCGAATATGAAGAACATATCTGAAATGACTGCCAGATTTCTCAAACAATACAACATCGTGGTAGTTCATAAGCCAACCGCTACTTTTAGAAGAATACTATCAAACCCAAAGGACATTAGGAATGCACAGGAATCAACAAACGTCGTGTATAAAATAAATTGCAATAATTGTGAAATGAACTATGTGGGGCAGACAGGAAGGAAATTATCCACAAGAATACAAGGACATCAGAGGGCTTGTAAAAAGCATTATGCATCGTCTCTTGTCTCAACGCATGTGGATGGGGAGGGACATAGCTTCAATTGGAACCAAACAGTGATTTTAGCTCAAACAACAACACAGAAAGGAAGAGAGTTCCTAGAGGCATGGTACTCCTCTAATAATTCGATCAACATGCGCATCGACATCGACCCCGTGTACCATCAACTCAGAAAGAAAGATCTCCGGCGAATCGCAAGACGTGGTTCAGCCGTGGAAGCAAATGGGCAGAGATCACGTGGCGCAAATCGAAATCGCCACCTTCAAAAGTCACCTGCCCGTGGATGACGGACTGACAATTCAATAAGCAGCATTATACACTGCCTATTACTGCACTGAAGATGCCACCTCGCATGGTGGTGAAACGTATGCGATCTCTTAACCAAGCTCGGAAAAACGATCAACAGGTGAGCAACCAAGCCGGGCTACCAGTGTTCCAGATTAGTTCGAATACTAACAAGGTCGTTGCTAACAGCTAAACTGACACTCGACAGTGAACGAATAGATACAGGATCCGACAACTTGCCAGTGTCTTCTGGCAAGTTGAACACGGACATCAGGGAAACCCCTCTTTTTCTCCCGCTTCTATGTCAACCACCTGTTCTGTGGATATAGCCATGACACAAATGCAATTCCCCTCGTCCGTAAAATTCAACCTTCAATTCGAAAGAGAAATGGGCTCAGCAATCCAGCATCCTGTAACGGTGTAGCATTTATTATACCGTAAAAATAGCAACTTACAGTTTCCCAGGAACGTTGCTACGCCTGCCATGAACACAGGGATACTGCATGTACCGGTACGGGCACTCATCTGGCAACCACTTCCACTTTTGCCGTTCATAATGCTGTGGAGTCACAGCCGTATGCCTGCAAAAAGCTGTGGCAGTTGCAAATTTCTTTACCTCGGACTCAACCTCATCAAGTTTCCGATAATAGTACGCACCAAAAGACATCATCTCTCAGATTCATCCACCATGATTACAGTTACAAATGTGGTGCCAGGTGATTTCCAATACTCCTGTAGTTTATCACAACAACTAACTATGAGAACCACATTAACCTTCTTCGATACAAAACATACACCGAGTTAACATGTATACTATATATATATATATATATATATATATATATATATATATATATATATATATATATATATATATATATATATACAAACGGCCATCTAATGGCAACCTCTCCATTTGGCCTAGCATACCTACTGAACCAAACCCGCCGCTAGGCAAATCTCAGATGAGAGTCCCGGTCCGTCCACAAAGCGTGAACACTGAGAAAGTGTTTGTTCCCTGTGAAAAGGGGGGCAGCACGTACTCCGTGACAGGATTGCAATGTGCATACCGGCCCCTGATGTGAAGCTGCGCAGTAACCGAGGTGAAAAAGACCACCAACCATGGCTCTTTATTGCTATATGTAGGGTGTCACTGGGAAAGCATGGACGGAGCAGAGTATCCCCTCTGGTTGACGATAAGCTACAGTAATGTTGCCTATTAAATTGTCGGATGTGAATATGACGGCAAAATCAATGGCCGCAGTGTGCGAGACAGTGTCCACAGTCACTGCAGGAGATATTCGATAAGCTTGTACATCATTGACTATGGCATGCCTGACTTAAGGTGAGTGGTAATAAAACATTAAGCAGTGAGTAATTCCTTTTATTGCCACAGACACCCCGCTGCGCTTGGCACTCACATCAGTAAAACAAAGCGTTTAACCAGCAAACTGCTGTCTCTAGTGCATAAGATTTCAGGGGAGAAACTGTAACGAACTGAAGAGGTGCTGAGAATGCTTTCGCGACTAAGGACTGATTTGCTTACGAATGGTACCGTACCCATGCCGAAAGAACCACACAGTATATTTTGGTGCATCGCTTTGCGGTGTGTACCATCGTTCTTGTTCACGGGTACCTGAGCACTTTGTTCATAGTTGGTGTTAGCGCTGAGATCCGTTAGTTAGCGTCTAGGAAAACCTCCTAGAATAGCGGTAGTACGCCTCATGCCCTTGAACCCTTGTTGAGGACTGCGGCGACCGAGTTGTGTGGTTAGCTTGAAGGAGGTTTGTGAGTAGCGTAAGGTTCGTAGAAAGTAGAAGTCACGATTAAACTCCACACAATAATCTGCCTCGACGGGGAATCGAACCCCGGTCCCACGAATTTACGGTCCGCTGCTCTACCACTGAGCTACCGAGGGCTGACGATTAGGTGCGCAATTTAATACATGACTTCTGCTTGGTGCGCGACGTATTGCCAATGAGCTCACAGTATCTGTCCTGGTGTTGCAGATTGGCTCAGTGTTAGAGCAGCGGACCGGAAATTCGTTGGACCGGGGTTCGATTCCCCGTCGAGGCAGATTATTGTGTGGAGTTTAATCGTGACTTCTACTTTCTACGAACCTCCTTCAAGTAATCTATCATCGCCCTTTGGACATCAGAAGGACAGTTACTTCAATCCATTGGGAAGTGACGAGTGAGTGAGCCAATCTGCAATACCAGGATAGGTACTGTGAGCTCATTGGCAATACAAAGCAGAAGTCATGTATTAAATTGCGCACCTAATCGTCAGCCCTCGGTAGATCAGTGGTAGAGCAGCAGACCGGAAATTCGTTGGACCGGGGTTCGATTCCCCGTCGAGGCAGATTATCGTGTGGAGTTTAATCGTGACGTCTACTTTCTAGGAGTTGTGTAGTGTTTGCCAATAATATGGTCAACCGAAGACGTGACGAAAAGCCATGAATAGACTGGACGAAGGGAGTGGTCAAGCCTCTGTAAGTCGCCTTCCTGAATGAGCCACATCAGTAGGAACTTGGACGGACTGCTGGTGAAGAGTAACTCTTGCTCCATTCAGTACTGCTTGACACATTAACAGCTGATACGGCTGATGGTTTTGCAATGTACGTGTCTGAAATCATCGATCAAAGATTCTTTAGAGTCCTCCCTCAGTGCCGGTGCAACACAGAAGCACCGCTGCAAAGTTTGAGACAGGACTTGTGAGGCAAAGTTGGCCGAAACGGATAGGTGACGAGCAGATACGTGGTATGAGGAGCGAAATGCTATCATTGAAAAGTAAATTCGCGAAATGTGCAAGAATCTCTAGATCCGACAGTAAAGCGTTGCTGAGTGGCATAAATCGTAAGGTGAGGATCCTGAAAATCGATGTTCGGTTTGACTCTGTTTGCTAACTGTGGTTTGGGCAATGAAGTATGCGGAAGCATCGAAATATGCGTTGATGGAAAGAGAATAAATTAAAAAAGGCGAATGGGAAAAGACTATTTAGTCACTGGAAGTAAGAAGTCAGGGTTGCATTCTGTAACGTTTTGCATCTCGTTTTTTCTCATATATCTTTTTGTATTGCGGCACATTAGCTGAGATGTGTGTTTCACTTTTAACTAATGTGCAATGATGATATTAATGAGATAAAACTCACAAAGGAAATACCAGGCCAGAATGCAAAGTGCGAAAGTGATCGTATGCGAAATCTTGAAATAAACCTAGAAGCAATCAAAAGCATCACACTTTGGTGACAGCTTCACGCACCTCACAACCACTGGTATCCAAGATCTAATCCGCTAATAGTGTCTGACGCACCCCATAACTACATTTCGTGGAGCTTGAAAAGAGAGATAATGGGAAAATGTGAAACACGAGTGTGAGGAAGAGGCGCAATTTGAGTTTAAGCACCACTGAGTTTGGGGCCCCTGTCAACTACACACTGCAGGCAACAATCTGGTATCCTCCAAGCCAAAATACTACGAGTAAAATTCTATCGTTTATTTGGAAAGGGAAAGATGTTTATTTCGAAAGTATAACTACAAGGGAACCAATATGGGAATGACAAGTTAGTCAAGATGATGAACAGCAAAAGAGCGACACTTTGTTACACCCATAGAAAATCTTTCGGCAAATCGCGTTCGTAATTTCCATTCTGGAGGAACGGATTGAACATGATCTTGTAGAGGCTGGTGTATCTTGTGTTGAGGTGGGGCGGATATTTGGTTCGTGGGTCCTGAGGAATGAAACGTACAGAGGTCTGATGAAGGAACCGGTCATTAAGTAGGTAGAGAAAAAAGTCAAGTTGGGCATTTCTTCAATCAGCGGTTTACAGAGCAAAACACACGTAAGCAGAAAGTTAGCGGCTTCAGGCTTACATGCGTCAGTATGCAAGTTCCTGCCGGAATGGAAAGAGGACAAATCTGTCAGGAACTACAGCCTCCAAGTGTATTGCCAATGGACAAGCGGAGAACACTCGCGGGTAAAGGAGCCCAGTATATTAGGGAAAAACAGTATCTCTACCGTGGGATATTCTGATGAACGTAGGCACAATCCAGCCGATGGAAGAAATGCCGTGCGATAAAGTGTCAGCAGCTGATGCACAGCAATACAGGCAAAGAATGAACACTAAATCGGAACGAACATGAGCAATCAAATGATACGCAAAGAGAAAACTAAGAGATAAGTTAGCTGAGATGGAAAACCAAATCGGTAATTAGTACTAGCTAACATGGTGATGCACGAAAAGGTCGACTGTTACTAGACAAACACATGTTGCTATGGGAAGAATAGTCTCCTGAACAGACCTAGACTGATCAGCAAAAAATAAAAGTAGGTAGCATACAGAGCAGAAGGGCAGAATACTATGGACACCCGGGTAACTGGAGACCCACTCTGCTGAATGAAAGAGTTGAGGAAGGTTGGGGTGCTGGGCAAATCACTGGAGAACCCGTCAATGTGGATTATGGAGAGAGGACATAGTATTCTAGATGTTTTCGAGAGGCACACATCTGCGATATTCAACTGGCGAACATTAGCTGGTGCACAGGTATCATGACTCTGAGTGCGGTGAACTCAAAAGGAAGATACCGCAGAAACCACGATGCTGATCACGCAAGATGACGACGAGACTGCGCAGTCACAAATGAAAACTACAAAATTGGCCAAGTGACCAACTACATCCCATTCGAGATGCAGCCGATTCTGCCTGGCCCAGCAAAGAGGAGGCCAGTTCAGTAAATGCACCCCGGACAGTCCTACATCACATAGTTGGAGAGGATGCGCACATCTTTGTCTAGAGGGTTCAAAGGGTGCATATCGGATTAACTTAACAGACCCATTTCCTAGAGTCAAAGTAGCAGGGGGCGATTTATTAACGGAGGGGACTCGGTATGCAGAGGTCCTGAGAGCGTTCTGGTCAGTCAGCCGATTGGACACACTGATCTCCGGCGGATAGGAAAAGGTGCAAGTACAAACACTGCGCTAAATTGGAGGAAACCATAGGACATTATGGTTTTGTTCCTGCCAGCTGAACAGGAGTGACAACTAAGGGTACAAACCAACCCACTGTGATAGTACTTTACCGATCGGAAAGGGGACTAACAGTTGATAGAACTAGTAATGTCAACATTAAAGGTAACGATAGCTTGAGTGAAACCGGGAAAGAATGATCCGTTAGTATCAAACAATCAAATGCCCAGTCATTAGAGTAACTGAAAGGGCTGAATACCCCAAGTTGGATACCGCAGGACAAGACAGGAGGGCAAAAGTCCTTGGGACCTACCTCGCACGTCAAAAGCCTAGGTTCGAGATCTAACCTTAGCGCTTCACCTAACTGATATCTCACCAAGGCCCCGGTCGGCGTTAAATAGCTTCACAGATAGGACATGGTGTCAGGTTCTATGCGAAATTGTAGGCACGTTCTCCGGTGTTTGCCACATCCAGTTTGTGACTGCAAAACGGCTGCATTGGCCAAGCAACTAAGCATCTGGGGTGGTGTTAATCTGACGGCCGCACTGTAAGCGATTGATTGCGACCAGTCCGTCAAAATGTGGCTAGACCTTAACGTCCTGCGACGGTTTGCGCACCTCTTGGACCCATTGAGTTATACTGGGTATGGCCCCCGGGAGCCTTGAGATCTCCTTTTACCAGGTTGGTCAATAGTTAGAGGTCAAACGAACTCAGTATTCTGGTGCTGCAGGTTGGGGGTATGAAATGAGGTGGCGTCCATTTCTGCAAAACCAAATCGTCGCCACATCTCTGTTGCCTTGCGAACAGGCTTTTGAGCCAAAGGCTTCGGTTGAGGAAATTAATCAACCTCAATTCTAGGTCTAGGCGGTGGCAAAACCTCAGCCCACATACAACCAGGACTATTCCTTCAAGGCATCAACAGTACAACGGTACGCAGTACCGACGCTTCGCTGCCACGCAACCACCACCAGTCGCAAGTGGGATAAGGATACTGCGAGGGTCGCGCTACCCCTATGCAGGCGCGAACACGCGCCGTTAGATTACCAAAGAAGCTTGTTACCTATAAGCTAAAGGCCGGCACAATTTCTTCAAACTGCAACAACATCATGTAACGGCCGTCGCGAGATTATCAAGGTTTGCCTTACTTGTTGCATACAGTAGGGCAGATGAGCAAAACTCGCAATTACTAGAGCCTCTCTATTCATTTTCCACCTGTTCTCTTACGTCTTGTAACGAATTTGCGCATATCTGGTAGCAGGGAGATACGCGCAACATGAGCACAATTTCTATTGCCGCGCGCATTCGGATGGCACGCTGAGTCCTCGAAAACGGACAAAAAAACGCACATGATCGGGGGACTGGACGCGAGGGAGAGTTAGACGCACACGATCACGTGACCACGCGGTTTACAACCACCCGTAAGAGGAGACAAGAGAAGACGAAGCGGACTTCTAGGAGCTCATTTATGACCCACAAAGGGGACCGTGGATGAAAGCTTTCAAGCGTTCTTGCTTTCTTATCGGTCCATACCAAATGCAGCTCCTCCAGGATGCCAGTCTCCGGCCGAAGTATTGATGGGCCGCAAGCTACGCACCATTAACGAAGCACTCCTCGCGACCGAAAAGCCACCAAGCTACTGCCTGCACCAAGCACAATGAATTCGTCGTTAGAACCCCGGTATACGCTCGCGACTATCGAGCAGGTCATCTAAGCTGAATCAAAACAACAGTGACAGCCGATCGAGGTGGTATGTTGCATGATGGTTCCGTAGATGATGACACGTGGGTTCGCCATCACAACCAACTTCGAAAGCACCAAGGAGAACTCTCCACGTCAGCCAGTCTTCCAGTGCACCTGCCGTTACAGAGGCGATAGACCTTTCGAACCAAGACAGATGAGTACGCCGATTTGAAACTCATGCTGCAGCAGCAACTCAAATTGTTGTCCGTGCTAACCGACAAAGCTTCCAGTTCCTCTCTTCACGCAGGTCCGATTGGCAGTTCTCAATCAGTAGACTATACATATATATATATATATATATATATATATATATATATATATATATATATATATATATAGCAGCAGTCTACGAATGGAATTAGAGCCAGCAGAAACCATGGGACCCAAAAGAAGGTACTGAAATAGTATAAGAAAACACAACACGACACATGAAAGTCCATGGCTTCGTCAGAGGACGAGATACTACCCGGTTGCCCAAGCCGAAATGTGGTGTTGACTTAGGGGACACCACCCTGAGCCTTTGGCTAAATAGCCTGCCCGCAAGGCAGCGGAGTGAATTCAGGGAATCGCGCCCATTGGGAGCCGGTGACTGATTGCTTAGTTCATAAGCCTTTCGTTACTTCCTTTGTCAAACAAGGACCCAGCGCATAATCGTTTTCCAGCTGTAGGCCCGTATTCCCTCGCACAAGCACTACCTCAGGATGGTGGTGAGGTCCTTTGCAAAGCACTAACCTCACCGATCGAAAAGGTCTGGAAGGAAGAGACCATCTCGCCTAACTGGAGAGAATCGATTACGGTGGTAATACAGTACAGGTAATCGCACAGACTGCTCGAACACCAGAAGTACTAAACTAATTCCGGTATTGACATAAGTACTGACCTCAATTCTAGTTAGTCACCCATAGAGGAACGGAAATTCCGGGATAGTAAAGAGCAAGTAGCTTTCCGCAAAAGACAGGGCTGTAGAGACCATATATATATTCCCCGATGTGAGAAAAAAGCACCACAAGAGCTGCGGATTGACAATACCTGTATTGCTAGGCGTCAAGAATGCGCTCGACACAACCGATCCATCCCTACCGTTCGAAAAAAGTAAGTCAGAAAGTGGTCCCACAAAATGCGTGAACCTTCTACGTGCTCTATACTCGAACACTACAGGCAGCGTCAGTGTCTACGGAGAATTGCTGGATAGCTTTCCGACAACAACTGGTGTTCGTCAGGGTTGCCAAATTTGCCCATCGTTGATCAACTTCATCGTGCGCTCCACCATGGAGTGTTCCCCAGTGAAATCTCACGATGCAGACTTTGAGGCGCTGGCTGGTCGAAATCTAGTTGATCTTGATTATGCGGACGATATCGTCATGCTATTTAACGATGTTGCGGCGACCCAAACAAACGCGAATAACCTCTCGAGTGGTCCCATCGCTTGGCATGTGCTTCGCAACTTCAGTGCAGCGTTGTTACAGGATCACCAGCCACCTTACTGAATCTGTGACATCTGTGGCGTCAGAAAGGGTTTCCCTCCGTCTGAAAGACCGTGTTTACAAGATCACAGTGAGGGCCGCAATAATGTATGGGAGTGTGACTTGGCTCCTTAGACCTGAGGCGCTTTCAAGTTTGTGCATCGTTGCCTGCGAAACATTGTTGGTGTCGGATGGCACCAACGTGCCCACAACGGTGATATGCGTAGGCGAGTATTAAGCAGGGATAATCAGGCTAGTTTCCTAGAGTAACAGATAGATGTTTTGTTCAAAATTAAAAGTTACATGATAAACAGATGGTAGGAGCGTATTGAAGCCATATCCTCCTATTGCGGGCCAAATCCTCCGAGACTTCCAGTCACTGGGAATCCAGTTCACGTGGTCCAAAGCCTGGGAGACGCAGGGATCCAACTGACGATAGACACGAAACAAGAATCTTCATGGGCCTTTTGCAGGTCATTGGTTATCCGACACGGATCTTTTCCCATTCACGTCTAGGAAGTGCAAAGAATGCGCGACGTGGAAAGCGGTGGAGTGGCATGCG